AACTGTTCATCTTTCCATCTATAGAAAAAACTGGGAATGAGGAATTATAACTACAACCTTAGCTTTGCCAAAGCACTTCTGTATAGTAGGATATTAATTCTGGCCATCTTCAGTTTAAAACAAGAATATTTCTGTTTGTGACTGAAAACCTGTGAGATTTTACATTATTTTTTAAAGACACTTTTAATTCAAGCTTGTCTGCCCAATACAGCATGAAACAAAAAGCTGCTACAATGTATGAATTTTGCTGTCAATGTGCTTTATGTTGCTGCTGGCATCATGACTTCCTTCTCAGTCCAACCTCAAAAATCACCTATGTGGACAGGGACAAAGACAATAAGAATACTGTGTTTGATTAAATGATCAGAGGGTGATCTGTCCTAAACATAATTTAGTACAATTCTGACCTTTTCAGAACCTTACTAATCTTGTTACCTGTCATCAGGTCCCTTCCCCCAACCTAGTCAGTACAATAACACCAATTTTTACAGGTGTATTACTTAAATAAAGGCAAGTTCTTATTGCAATAAATTAGGAATTAGGTAAGGAAGATGTCAAGATTAATGTTCACAGATTAATACAGTTGAATCATCAATAAACTCTTTACCAAAGGATTTAAGTTTCCACAATGCAGTCCTCGTCAATTCATTGGTTTCTAGCTGTTTTTACCATCTGCAAAGTCTTTCTCCATAGAAACAGAGCTGATGCTGTTGAGCCCCTGGCAACAGCTTTCGAAAGCAGCTGTTCTATATTTAACTAGTCTGACCTATATGCAAGTGCTCATCTCCATTGGCCTGGACTGTCCAGAATTACAGAGGTGATGCTTTCCTTTATTATGTAACACACATATACCCTCCATGGGGTCATTAGCGAAGTATACCAAGCCATTTCTGGATGTAAAGATTGAGAAAAGTATAACTGAAAAGGCTGGATATGATGAATATATATCTAGAAATTCTTTGCCAACTCGGTTTATCATTAGTAGTATAATTTTTAAACTGTCTGCAAGTTTAAAAACAGCACCAAAGTTACCTGTGCAGCCGTATGGAAACTATCACAACTGAAATTTTTATAAAATGTTTCTTTGCATGACATTTTAACTCGTCTATGCCTAGTGCTTAATCCTTGGTATATCATCAGGGTCCATTAGACCCAATTGTCAGTTTTTGAGGTTTTTTTTTTTTGAGCAGTTCTAAGTATTTATAAAGATTGATATCTTCTGATGTTTATTCCTTTTTAAAAGTCTTCCAAAGACCAAAAAGGAAAATGTACTTTTAAAAACAGAATAAAACTAATTCTATTTCGCAATTACCATATGGATCCACTGGATCTTTTTCTGTAAGACACGTTATGCTGTTTCATCACCCTAGAAATTATGTCACCATTACTCATCAATTATTCCCAACTATGCTAAAAAAGATTAAAATAGTAAGAATACAGAAGAATGATGCGACGGTGAAATAAATATCACAATGACATCATTCTTCAGTTTTCTTATTGTGCTGCCCAAAGTACTGCACCATCTTTCAAGAAGGTATAAAAGAAGTCTGGAGACAACATCTTTGTGGCATGATTTTAGCTTTTATTGAACGCAATTGAGAATTCTGATAATTGGCCAGAATGGCAAAGCAAATCAACAGACGAAGACGTTTTACAATTATTAGATGAGTCAGAAGATGAATTCATAGAGTGAGATAGCAGCACTTGAGACACTAATGAAGATGGTGAAATTGATCATTTAAAGTAAAATCTCAGACTATGTGCCTTCAGATGATGATATTCTACATAGTTCTCAAACTCGAGAATCGATGAGTAAACAATATATTTCTAATCTAAGGACAAAAAGAACTTATTCAATAGGAAGTCTTCACTGTGCAATATTTTGTGACAAGAAAATAGGCCATCCCATTTTGCTTAAAGGACACATGACAGTATTCTTTCACCTTTTATGTCATTTGTGCACCAAAATTTTCTTGATATAGTTTATAAGTAGACAAATGATGAAGGAAGGTATTATATAGAGAGTGACCAGAAGAAATAGATGAAGTAGACATTTAAAAAAGTGGATTGGACATTCTGAAAAGTGTCCACAAATCTAAAAATGAAAATTGCAATTATGGAACATATGATGGCCATTCTCTCTTAAACAAAATTATGAGCCAATGATTTCCAAAAAATTCTTAAAGTATTGTGTTTTGAAAATATAAGTACAAGAAGAAGAACCAGAAGTAATGATAATCTAGAACCCATCAGAGATGTATTTGAAATTTAGAATCCGTATTTACAAGTTCATGCAGGACAACTGATCAACAGTTGGCTGTATTCAGAGGCTCCTGCCCATTTGGGGTATACAGGTTGAGCATCCCTAATCTGAAAATCCATAATCCAAAAGGCTCCAAAATCTGAAAGGTGTACAACCCCATTTATTCAGTGTCCTGAAGGGAGTTACTAAAGTGATCTTTTAATCAAAACACAACACTGTAGGTGGCAACTGAAAGCCTGTTGTTGTTTGGTGTTGTTATTGTGTAACAGCTGTTACAGGGATTCTGGTGATTCTACTGTGCTGCTTAGTTGCCCGAACACATCGTTTTTTCATTGTATTAATGATATGTCATATGTTTTACTGTTAAGTACTTATGTGTGAATAAGTAGAAGAAAATGATTACTTATTGGTAGCATGTAAACTCAGAGTTAGAAATGATGGTGATGCCAAACAACCACAGATTGTCCACATGGGGTGGCTGAGATAGTCACACTTTTGCTTTCTGATGGTCCAGTGTACACTAACTGCTTCATTAACAAAATTATTAAAAATAATGTATAAAATTACCTTTAGTCTATGTGTGTAAGGTGTGTATGAAACATAAATGGATTTCATTTTTAGACTTGGGTCCCATCCCCAACATACCTCATTATGTACATGCAAATATTCCAAAAACTGAAATTTCTAAACACTTCTGGTCCCAAGCATTTCGAGTGAGGGATACTCAACCTGCATATGCCTTCAAAACCAGGAAAAAATGGAATAAAAATTTAGTTTGCTATATTTAAGTTCTTATTTAATATTTTAA